TTCAGGGTGGACTCCAATGACCCAGTTGCACTTCAGGTTTCCACATAACTGCATTGGTCAGGGGATTCCCAATGGCCTAGTGAGTGTTGGAACCCAATTAACAACGCTTCAAGATCTGCTTCAGAAATGGTTTGCCCAGACTTTCCCCATTTCAGGCCTTGCCTGTCCTAGACCATAAATTCCTTACCCACTTGCAGGTCCAGGCCCAGGAATTAACTACAGACTGTTTAGCAGACATCAGCATATACAACTTTGATGGAGAAGTAGATCCCCCAGCCTGGAAAGCTAGCCAACATCTAGAGAGAGGTTTAGGGTGTTTTTTCAAAAGAGATAAAAGCAGAGGTTTGGAATCTACTGTATTTTCACGAATGAAATGATAAAAAAATATGAATGCAGTTGCAGCAAAAAATTAGTCAAATTATCAGTAAGACAAGCAACTGCTAGCTTGACATTTGACAGGATATCCACAGTGAACCCCAGAAAGCTTGTTTAAACCAACTGCCCTCCTCCTGCCACCACAGCAGCATTGCTCTGTGCAGTGTGCTGGTTGTCAGTGTGCTTTTTACTTGGGGTTTTTAGGATAACAGTGACATCAGAGGTAGAAAAAGCCTTGTAAACCACAGGAACTTACCTCTTCCCAGAAGCATAGTGGTTTCACTCATAAAAGAACAGCAGGTGTTAGAGTGTCACCAAGGGACTTGATTTTGACCACAAAGCCAGGAAAAAGCAAATGTCTTTAGTAAATCTCAGCTTCTCAGTGACCTCTGATGGAGCAAATCTGCCAAGGCTGAGTTGGCTGACTTTTAGGCCAAAGCCAATGATTTATCTGTGCTGGTTGGGCTCAAATCCTGGAGGCTTTATTGAGATTAGAAGGCAACTTACTCATCAGAGAGCAAAGGAGCAGCCAAAATTCGTCCTTTCTGACAGCAGGGAGATGTGGCGCTGAGGTGGAAGGCTCTGGGAAAGATGGGACAGAGCAGAGAAGGGGGTGCAGTGCCCAGAGCAGATTGGTACAGTACATCTGTGACCTGATCCCAGCTTTGCAGAGCTTGTGCCAAATTCCAGTTCTTTCCCTGTGAGAGCTTTAGCTGGGAAACGTCCTGAGGAGTAAATGCAGAGGTGAGAGCTGTGCTGCCTTACACAAAACAGCAAACCTCTGCAAAACTCCCCGTGCTGCAGCACTGGGTGAAATTTAAATATGTGTGTGTCTGAGAGAGAGAGGGAGAGAAGGAATGCCTGGGGAGATTAAAAAGGTTGAAATGAGTCACTCGTCTTTTTGTCTAATTTGGTGGATAATACAGGGTGTGATGCTTCACTGCCTCCTTGCTGAGCTGCTAGCGCAGAGCCAGTTCCAGTGCTGTCAATGAAAGGATTTTCCTGGATCCAGCCCATATATGGTGCAAAGTAAGGCAGAGGAGAATCGGGCACAGGGACGCACTGGCTGCAGGCGCTTCTGCCACGCCTGGGAGGTGGGACGCTTTTCTGTTGTGCAAAGACGTTATGGGTTGTGACACTCAAAATTGGAGGTGTTTCAGCGGCTTCTTCAACTTAAAAGTGGCTTTCTAAAATGGCATTTGACACTTTATACTAACTTAAGCCCAGCCACGGTACGGTAACAGGAGATAGATCACAAACCAAATAAATACCCGCTGGGGAACAGCGTTGCAATGGAAAAGCGGGCTGAGCCTTAGCTGGTGAGGCCGCACACCGGGGGAGGGTGCTGCAGAAGGGGCTTCACGGTGCTGGGTGGTCCCTAAGAGGGGCTTTGCTCCCTAAACTGGGCTTTTCTCCCTAAACCGGGTTTTGATCCCTAAGCCAGGTTTTGATCCCTAAACTGGGTTTTTCTCCCTAAGTGGGGCTTTTCTCCCTAAACCGGATTTTGGTCTCTAAACCAGGTTTTGCTCCCTAAGGGGGGGCTTTGGACCCTAGACCAGGTTTTGCTCCCTAAACCGGGTTTTGCCCCCTAGGCGGGGCTTTGGCTTCCCCCTCGGGGCGGCTCGGCGGGAGGATCCAAGAGTCCGGCAGGGGGCGCCGCAGGGCCGCGGCGCAGTGGCGCGGCCTGTTTGTTCGGGGGGCGGGGCCCGGCTGTAGGGGGGGCGGGGCCCGGCTGTGAGGGGGCGGGGCCCGGCTATGGGGGGGCGGGGCCGGCGGCGGTCGCGCCGCGCAGAGCCCCGCGGCGAGGCGGGAACTGCGCAGCATCGCCGAGAGTCCCGGGGCCACCGCGGTCCCGATCCCGCTGTCCCGGGCAAGATGTGGCGGCGCTGGGAAGCGGGATGGGACGAGAAGAGGGAACTGCAGGAGCTCAACTCCCGGCTGCGGGTCTTCGTGGCCCGCGTGCGGGAGTTGGAGGAGGAGAACCGCTTTCTGGCGCGGGAGTTGGCGGAGCTGCGGGAGCAGGAGCTGATCGGGCTGCGAGTGCCCGAGCAGGAGCTGGCCTGGCTGCGGATGCAGCTGGAGGAGCTGAGTCGGGCAAAGTTGGAAGCGGAGCTGGAGCGGGACGGGCTGCGGCGGGAGCTGGAGCAGCTACAGCTGCTGGGCGCCGAGGTGCTGGCGATGCGGCGCCGGCTGGAGCCCGAACTGGCCGGGCAGCGGGAGCTGCTGGAGCGGCTGCGGGGGGAATGCGTCGCCCTGGAGGAGCTGCTGCTGCAGCTGCGGGCCGAGCACGGGCACCTGGCCGAGCGGCAGCGGCGAGAGGCGGTAGAGATGCGGGAGCTGCGGGTGGACCTGGCCGCCTTGCCACCCCCCTTGGGCGGGCTGAGCCTGGAGGAGCTGGAGGAGACCTACGAGATGCTGCTCAGCCAGAGCTGCCGGGAGACCCTGCTGCGCTACCAGGAGCAGATCCAGGCGCTGCAAGAGCAGGAGGCGCAGAGGAGCCGGGAGAACCTGGAGCTGCTGCGGGAGGAGAGCCGGCAGTGCCGGCAGCACCTGGAGGAGCTGCACCGCCAAGGCCAGGAGCTGTGCAGGCTCCGGGAGAGGCTGGAGCAGGAGTTGCTGGCCTTGCAGGATCGCCACGGCGCCGAGGTGGAGGAGTATCAGGTGGGTGGCAACGCCCCGTCGCCCCCTCGGGTCGGTCCCCGGCCGCTGTCCCCCGGGGCCCGGGCCTCTCCCTGTCCTCTTCGTCGTGCTCCTCCCCGCCCTCCGGTGCTTGTTTAAGTGCTCGCCTGAGTCTCTTCCCGCCGTCCCACTCGCTTTTTCCCTTCAGTTCTGGCCCATCGTGAGCAGTGAGCCCGTTTTCTTCTGCTCCCGGAGACCAGGTCTCATCCCTCCCGCTCCCGCTGCTGTGGGAGGCCCCTGCACCTTTCCAAAAGCTGACTCTGCCTGGGCCAGGGGCTCCTCAGCCCCCTTCACCTCCCCACAGCAGGACTTCCCCAGGCTGGAGGAGGAGGAGGTGACCCAGCAAGAGCTGGTTGCTGCTGAGCCTTTCCCTGGGTGGAGCAGGGAGGCCCTTTGAGACCCACCGCTCGGTTTGGGGAGAGCTGGGTGCGAAGGGTGGGGATCCAAAGGGAGACGGTGACCCTGGGGACACCTTCCTAGTGACAGGTGCTCCCTCCCCAACCTTGGGCAAGGACCCAAGAGCGTGGAGCTGGCGCTCGGGCTTGCCAGGGCTCATGCTTGGGTTGGCGTGAGCACACGGGACACAGGGGAGGTTCTGGGAGCAGCCAAACCGAGTCCCCATGAGGTGGGACACAAAGCTTCCCTTCTAGCCTGAGACTTGAGGTTGACCTGTCACGATCAGAGAAATTTATCTGAATTTTCTCCCGGCTCTGTGTGCTCTGAGCCTAGAGAAAAGCTTGTGGGCCCCAGAGTGGTTAAGGAAACTTTTAGTTTTTTAAAGGCAGGAAGACTCATTACTATGCTACAGGCAGTGAGCAGAGTGGGAATTTTTTGAAATAAAACTAACGATGTAGGTGACTGGTATCTGTTAAATGTTTGGTGTTGTTAAAGGGGGTTATAGCGGCTGTAGCTGAGGATTTGCTTGCTGTCAGAATAGCGTTTGGTATAATGATGTATAATCACTCTGTGCCCGTGAGCAGATCAGCAGCTGCCGGAACAGCAAAATATCAGTTCATCAAATCTAGAGTGGAGAGGACATATTAGATCATCCCAACCATCGATCGATTTCCCGAGGGCAACATTTCTTTTGTTCATTGTTAGACCTTTTATTAACACTCTGCTGGAGTACGGTGTTTGTCTGAACCCCGTGTGCTCATGATCACATTGTGTCCAGCAGCTGTGGTAGATTACGGAGATGCTGGCAACTGGGAAAGGACTGGGACCTGTTGCTGTGTGTCTGGTTTTTGTACGTTGCTAGATTGTTTGCAAGTTGCATAGCTTGCAGATGCTGTGAACTGAGGCAGATTAGGTATGTAAGAAGTAATCAGAAAGGCTTTTAACTTTTAATTTTTTTTTTTTTTTTTTTGCCAGGACAATTAATTCTTCCAGGCATGTATGTAAACATTTCCAAAGCTTTAGAAGATGATGTTATATATAAATCTCTCGCTAATTAAATCTATCCATCAGTTAAAGCCAGGTGAAAATGTAAATAAGAGAAAAAGCCTCTTCATTTTTTTCCCGTTTTTTTAAGTTGTGTAAGTTCATATAAATGTACATAAGCCTACTCGTATCTAAAATTACTTTGATTTCCAAAAATATGTCCTATTTGGCGTTTATATTTGTTATTAGGGATTTATACTGAAAATTTCATTGATCATCCATCATCACTGCTCAAATTGAAAACCTTTAAATATGGTGTTATTTTAATAAGAGCATGTTGTATTGTTCACTATTCGTGCTCACCTTCTTCTTCTAAAGCCAGTTAGAATGGGTGTGTTCAGATACCATACTCTTTCAACTCAGCAAGGTGTTTTTATACCAGTGTGTTGTCTCTGTATCTTCGTATTTTTAAAGAATTTTATTCAGAAGAGCAAGTGGAGATGAGCAACATGTTATAGAAGTCAGATAATCAAAATCAATGCATGCCCTTGATTTGTCTTGATTAAATACTCAAAAATGGATTGTTATTTTGATACCAACATAACAAACTTCAGGTTTATTCTCACGAGCATTTGGCAAGCTTTGGATTTTACAGGAAAAATAGCTTAAAATCTCAGCAATAAAAGAAGAAACATGTTCTCAGGTTGGCTATCAAAGCACATGTGAGCTGTCTTATCTTTGAATATATATCTAGATAATACTTAAACTCTGGTGAAAGTTATGTAATTATGTTTATAACTTCTGAACAGTTTAATATTTAAAATGTTTGGTTTCTAATGAGAGAATCATTTCCCAGTACCCAATCTACTGTACATGAAAAATAAAATAGCTTTTGCTCACATCCAGGAAGAAAAATTATAGTATGAGTAGAAGCAGCTGCTTCAGGTTTTGTTCTTGTGATCAAAGCTTTTTTTCCTCCCCTGTAATTTCTTTTATTGGTGAAAGTATGTTGAGCATGGATTTTAAACTACTCTTTAAAGAGCATCTATTCCGTGCTTATTTATTGCAAAGTGTCACGTAGAAATGATATGTATGCGCAGTTTTAAGTCAAGTGATTATTGTTCATTGCAACTGCAGTGGCCATTAGATTTATTCATATTTTCCATATATCTTCCAGTCGCCTTATATGTCCATCTTTGCCTCCTGCACTGTCCTTATCCTCACTAACGCTTTCAGCAGTGTTAAATAGAAATATATATTTGGAGTTACAATTTAGCTGAACAGGGCAAGCTGTAAATCATACATTGTTTGGAAAATTTTCACTGGCCCTGGGTGCTAAAGGGATGAACTCAGTAGGTCTCTTCCATAATTTTAGCTGTGTGCTGTGACAATACTTAGGCAAAACCTCTCAAATAAACATATCAATATATCATGTGCATTTTTTTGTGTACCAGTTTCTAACCAGCTAAGCCCAGTGTCTCAGTTCCCCTGCTGAGCCAGTGAATGAGCTATGGGATCAGTAAATAGTACCAGATGGAAAGGGCTGGAACCTTGAATCCTTTCTGTATTCCCTGAGTAGGTGCAGCTTGGACGACCCAAGTAAATTCTTTTCCCCCTACTGCCCTTCTAAAATTTCCCACTGCTGCCTGGAAAGGAACATCTGAAGGGTGAGAAAATGAATTCTATTCAGTTACTTAGTTCTAGCAGGACATCACCAGGATTGGGGTGGCATGAGATTGATGTGGTTGAGAAAATCTTTCCAAGGAAGTCTTGGTTGAAGGAAACAGAAAACAGCTGCAGCAATGCAGGTTACATTTTACAAAACAGAAAGTTGGATGGCTTGCAATCTCCTGAGCTTTGGCAAAGCGGCTTATGTGCTTTTTGGCATGTTTGGAAACAGGACTTAAGACTAATTGTCCTCTGCATTATGTTTAAGCACCAGTGACTGGAGGGCTACACGAATGGCTGTCTGCCATCCAGCCTATACAACGTCTGCTCCTGTTGGGATGAATTCCTTTGGAAGTATTACACAGCAGGCTGAGTTATGTAGCCCCTTATGGTAATCATTAACTCAAACTTGGGATCCCAAGTGCTCTCCAAGTCCAGTGGGTAGAATCTAGGTGGCTTTTCAAACCCAGACTGCAGAACTCGGGGGTGAGGGACTGAATTTCCTGTGTCTTTAGACAGGTGTGAATATCCTCAGCCTTTCAGAGCTCCACACGCTCTGTAGTCCAGTGTACAGATTCCCTGTATACATTCTTCTGGGACTGGAGCAAAACCTATGCATTGTGAAGCATTTTTTGTAAATATGCATGCACATGTAGAGGTTAGTCTCTATGTTTAACCAAGGAGTCAACAAACACTTGAATCATTTCATGTTTTGTGTCAGAAATCTTACCATCCTTAGGGGTTGGTCCCGTAGAGATCCAGTCTTTGTCTTTTGTTCTTTTTGCTGATTCCTTTGGTTCTGTCAACACCCTGTCCATTCTTGCTTGATAGCCTTTTCCTTTTAAAAGCAAGGTCTGGCACTTTTCTTCCTTTCTCATCCTGGGATTTTCCATTGTGTCAGTTCTTGAACTGGATTGTTGCCTCAGAGCCACTAAAGGTCAGCAGTTCTGCTTGCCACTATGTGTGGGCATGCGGGATGTTACCTCCGCTGCAGTTCAGATGAGGTTGTTAGATGGTTGATTGTGCTTTTTCAGATACGCAGGTATGATTTGCCTTTTGCCATAAAAAGGGATTTTTAGGTACAATGAAGACTGTAAGCAAGGTTTGTCATGTCAAAGAAAATGTCAGTGTAATCATTTAACAGCAACTGCAAATGCAAACGAAGACACAGAAATACTAACGTGTTATATAGAGAGATATACCCACATGTATATGAAGATACAGGCAGCTTCTGTCATAAGGCCTTCTTTTTACCTTTACTTGAAAAAGAAGACTAATAATATTTGAAATTCCAGCACTTCATATTCTTAGTTCTAAAAGCTTACTTCTGCCTAGCGTATCATACTGGCATTAACCTATCTGGGGAGTCCCCCGCTGTATCTGCATTTTTATGCCATTGCTCATACTATGATACTTAAACATCTGCTGCATATAAATTATGTATTTTGAATTTTTTAAAACTAGGCTATCAGTGTCTTGATTTTCCAGTTTGTATTGCACAGCATTTGTTAGGATGCAATCTAAAATGCAGTCATGAATTCCTGTCCAGTGCTGTACATGTGTATGAGATTTTGCTTTGTAAATGACAGTTCAGTGTCCTTTCATAGTACAGAATGAAATGCAAAAAACAGAATCAGGCCTTTGTTGAGATTTAATTTCTGTCTTCCCAGCCCCCAGAACAAACTGTAATCTATTTTGGTTAGCATCAGTCTGCTGGCTGAGGAGGAGTGATCTGGGTTAGTAGTTTCTATCCACAGCACGGAAGCCATTAAGACTGGACAGCTAATACTGATACTTCCAGTTCTGAATCTGTACAGAAGAAGGTCCTCTCAATTATCAGGGGAGATCTTATTTTCCAGTAGATGGCAATTTGCCCTTCGTGTGAGAGGTAACACCAGTGATTAAAGCACTTGCTTTCTGCAATGCTCTTTTCAAGATCATGGGAGTCAGTTGTCTTGGTCTAAATCAAATCTTGATGTTCTGTTGCATATGTCTTCATTGCTTTTCATGTTGTGTACAGTTATTCAATATTTAATCTTCCATTTAGTATTTCAGGCCTTACCTACTGTCTCTTCAGTGCTGTTGCTCTCAAGTAATTTGTGGGTGTCTCACAAACTGCACTCTTCTCATACACAACCTCCCTATGAAGGTAGAAAGTTATATTTAAATATCAAGATGAAAATGAGCAATCCCTTGTATATCTTCCAAGTATCAGGACAAAGCTGGGTAGACTCAAGCAGGTGTCTAAATATTGTAAAAAACTTGCCTGGAAGGAACCTCTGGAGGTTCATCCTTCATCTTCTAGGCACTATGAATATCTCCAGATGCTAGAATATGAAAACTGATTTGGACCCACATGTCTGTGGAACTGAAAATATCGATAAAGAGAAGTAGGCCAGGTTCTCATAGCAAAGCAATCGCTGAAATTCCTGATCTCAAGTATGATGTAGGCATGTACATTTATGCTCTTAAAATGACAAAATGAGTCACATACCTTTAAATCACAGTTATAAAGGAATTTTCCTTGCTACGTATACTTGATAACTTTGGTACAGAGCATGTGAATGGGTTTTACTGAAATATTTAACTAGTTTAGTCATAAAATGAAATCTTAGCATAAAACTCTGCTTTAGTAATGTATTTCAGATTGTATATGGGGAGGCTGTAGAGCTGATTTGTTCTGGTTTTTGAAGTGATGGAACATATTGATTTATTCTCTCAGATTTTTTTTTTTTTAATTAAAAGTTTTAAGTTATAGGCATTCAAGTGTACAGATTTTTATGTTAGTTCAAAACTAAAAATTAATATTTTTGTTTAGAGGATAATCGACGCCCTAGAGGAAGAAAAGCAGTTCCTGACCATGTCAATCACAGATTACCTAAAGGACTATCAAGAACTACTGCAGGTGAAAGCAGGCCTCATCCTTGAAATTGAAACCTACAGGTAAGAACTGTGGTCACACTCAATTGTCTAATTGGAGGATAATTTAAATCCCTTTTTATAGATACAGGAGCCCCATTCATCCTCTTTCCAGCATTTAAAATACAGACAACTGCTTTTAGAGTCCCAGATCAAGATTCCATGTATTTACTGTGGTTTGCTAGGTAGAGTGAATGGACTCCTAATACCAGTTTTTAGCTCGTTGTTGGCTTGTTCTGTGACGTGGGTCAGCATGCCATTCTGTGCTTGACTGTACTGTCTGTGAAAGGAAGATAACAGAAGGCTGCTAATACATGTGGAGTTGTCAGAGATCTCTGGGAAAACTGTAAAAATAGTAAAGTACCATTATTCATTAGTAACACTGATAAGAATTACTACTGGGCAGAGGTGTCTGGAAGTTGATCACTGAAACGAAACTATCTCTGACAGTAATTCATTCTATTCCTTTGTCCCCAGAACAACCTATTAGAGAAGCCAATATAATCCATAGGAATAATATTAAATTTGTACAAATACAGTGATATGTAAGAAACCTTCTTAGTCCTGGTCAAGTTGATATCAAGTGAATGTGAATTGTTGACGCTAAGTTTGATTACAAGCTGAGGAGCCAGTATCCCTAAATTGCAATCAGTAAAACATGAGGTAGTGTGGTTACCATCTGTCAACTTACATGGCACATTTCATTATTTAAATATGTTGATTAGTGTCCACCTGCAGTATCGATGGAAGTACTGAGTTCCCCATTCTTGTTTCAGATATAGGATAGTGGGAAGATAATAAAAAAGTCTGATTAAATTCTGTCTTTCTCCATCCTTGGTTTGTTATGGAAACATATTTGGATCAAGTGTGAGATATCGGCAAACAACAGCTCTGCTAACGAATCTTCAGTATCTTCAGTATTGTATATCTCTCTAGCCACTTAGTAGCTGTGGGGTTGAAAAGCCAGACTAATTCTGTCTGGAGAATCATGATGTATCAGATGGAACGTAGCATGAAAGGGATTGAGAAGTGAAAAAACAAAACAAAACCTACAAACTGGAGAAGGATACTATCTTATTTTAAAGACTGTGGGTTTTTTTCTACAACTAGCACAATATTTTCAATAAATCTGAGATATTGATCTTCACATACTTACTGCAATTCTTACTGAGCAAAGTAATAATTTGCAAAAGTTTAATGTCAGCCTACTTTCATGTTTTTTAAGGAGTATGCCTCAGTCATTAGCTTGTCTATATTGCATGCATTATGCATATTCAACCTGTGTAAACAGACAGAGGTATTATCAGTTATATATGATGTATGCTTTTTGTGTCCTAATGCATTAACACAGTGTCTTAAGCATGTAACATCGCTATGAACTAATAAGCATCTAAATCTGGATCAAGATGGCACCAGCTGAATTATGGGTGAAATGCGTAGACTAAAGGAATCCACTGATAAATATGAAATGAAATTGTAGTTGAATAAATGAAAATCTGAGAAGCTTCAAGGAGTAACTTCTGAGTAGCATGGTAACAGACTAGTGAGCAAAGGATGTCTGTAGTGCATTAAAGAGCAAAAACGGTCTGTTCAAGATGGCTTGAGTACTGTGAGCTATGAGGTACAGACCAAGGCTGGCTTCTGGACAAGACGAAATCACAAGCAGTATGTGGGACAAGTAATTTTCAGTCAGTTGGTGAGCAACAGTACCTGAATGTTTATTGATGGAATGGGACCCCTGTGATCCTTGGAAACCTAGTAACGTCTGGAGCATTACTAGTAGAAGAAAAACTGTGGAAATGGTAGCTGGTTGTGATCCTTCTCTGTGTGTGTTAATTCTGTTAACTTTGCTCAAACATATGATTCTTCTAAATTTAATCCTAGCTCTGATGTTGACTTCTACTGTTGTCACTTAAACTTTCTCCCTTGGTTTATTCATATGCGAAATGGGATTATCACTCTCACAATAACAGAATTATCAGAGTTGTTTCGATGATTAGTATTCATCCAGAAGTAGAAATGATAATGCCCAGATATTTAGTTGTTTGGACATGCTTTTAATTAATAAGCAAACCATCAGTGCTTCTGCTGTGTAAAACCTTGCAAGTCCATTAAATTCTGGAACTTCTCCAGAGGTGATATCACTGATTATCTGAGCATTATTGGTTTGTCTAAGGATTCCCTGCCTTTCTTAATGAAAGGAGAGCAATTCAGCATCCCCTGCAGCACATATGTTGTCCAGTTAAGAAGTTCCTTAACTTGTAGCGTTTCTTTATCTGATTGATACAAACTGCATTCACTACACTGATTGCGTTGGCAAGGCAGACTTCAGTGGACAAATGAGCATCTACCTACTGATCAGAAACATGCTATCTAATGCCTGCAAACAAAATTGTTTTAAAATAAGAGAAGCTGAAAAGTGATTGTTTTGATTTGTGTTTTTACATTTATGCAGTTTTACCTATTCTTCCTTTGTGCTTACTCTCCTTTCACTTCAGAAAATAATGACTTCCCTACTATATGCCTTTATCAACACTGCTGTGGGAGGGATTCAGTGTGAATCCAGTTAGTAAGCTGTCTAGTAAGAGAAATCTGGACTGCTCACCTATGTGCTTTTTCAAATCCTGTTCTTCTCCCAGGTCTTTTTATCTGTGATAACCAGGTCACGTGAAGCCAGCTTCAGTTTGTTTTCATGAAGGATAGTGGCATATACCCTTGTTTATGCATACTGGAAACAAAAGGCATGTAGTCGCACTTAGTTCTACATCGTGAATTCTCCATTGAGAAGTTTCCATGAGTGCCTTGGCATCTCCTCTGCTCCTGGCATGATAGGTTAAGGGTGTGGTATGTGGTCTCCTTCCTGGAGCTTTCTTTGTACCTCCCACCCTGTATTTTCTCTTTGTCTTACAACTTCTACAGCTTCTGTTTTAAAGCCAGTTCTTTCCATTAGTCAACAGTGCTTCTGAACTGGCAAGAAGAATCATCGTCGCAAGGAACACCCTTCCCCAAGGACCAACTGTACTTCCTCTCTGATTCTGCTTACCCTTCCTGCTCCAGGAGCTGAGACTCACTCAGGAAGTGAAATATATGGCTTATGTGGCTTTATGAAGTTACACCTCAAGGGAATCTTCATTCCTAATCCTTTTTGGTGAAGTAAATATGTAGTGTCTTGCAGTTTTGTTCTGTGTTCTTGGAACCCTGCAAAACTGCAACTACTTAGACTATGCTTAAGTTTGATTTCCAAGAAGTGGTGAATTATTCACTGTGTGAGCCTTAATTTTAAAAGGAGGTAGAAAATCTGTTTAGGATTGGAATTACTATCAAGCATTTCTCCTCAGCTATCAGAAGCTTCTCTTCAAATAAGAGAGGCTGGCCAGAGCCTCTGCCATAGGTTTAAATTAGTTTTTCTGCCCTCTCTAAAATATGTTGTTGTTGAAAGGTAAAAGATTTTACTTTGAAATCCTAGTGTCATGCAAATGTTCTGTTCTAGGTTACCACCCTGCGTTTTGAAGCAGTGGAGGCTACAAAGTTGGGGGGGGGGGGGTTTCCCCTTTTTTTTTGTCACAGTCGTTGTCAGGATCTCTTAATACACTTGTCAGGCATACTTTCCAATCCTCCTTCGGTTGGTTTCCTCCATCAACATTTCTTCTGACCCTTTCCATGCCTTCCTTTCAAGAAATCATCATCAGCATTAAGGCCTCCTCAGCTACTTACCACAGCTTTTTCAGTCAGCTTTATTATTTCCTGTTTACAACTTGGACCATGCCATATGTCCCATTCTTGTATTTTTTTTAAAAAACATTATGAGTTTCCTACACCCAGTAATTTAACATGCAGTCAGTTACTTGCTGTTCTTCACACAGTCATCCTCCCATCCCATGATGCGAAAAAGATGTGGAGTGGCCTTTACCCCTAAAAATGCCTCCTCCACTCCACTTCCTGGAGAGGTTTAATTTTGTAACTCCTTACCAAATACCCAGGATACAGAGGAAGAAATTTTATGACCTGCTGGCTAACTGCCCCTATCTGAGATCTTGCATTTCTCTAGTTGAAACAAGGTCATAGCTCTTGTGAATGACCATTTGCAGTGCATCCTTTTGGTTTTGGTAACTCCTCTCTCCACACCCCAACCAGTTTATCTCATCCACCTGCTTTCATGGACTAATTATTTCTGTTGTCATCCAGCACACTGGGGAGCTTCAGGCTGACTAGCATGTCACAG